CAATGTATGGTTAATGGACCATTATCAAGTAACCTTTTTGGAGAAGATACTCTCAGAATCTTGAAATTGGAAATTTTAAGTTCAAGTAGTCATCTTCAACTAATTGAAGGAAAACAGGCTTTTCTGCTGCTCTTCCTTTCAGTATGTTAGGGGAAATTATCTTGGTCTGCTGTCATCAATATGTTATACTATTTCCTAATATGTTTCTAAGAGAAAATATTCTACTCCCTCCGTTTCATATTACTTGGCACCTGTTGACCTGGCACATCCCTTAAGAAATCTTCAATTAGAGGTGTATTTAACTAAACTAACCTTATTAATGATGCTTTGGAACTCTAAATTTGACTACTACTATTTTATGTAGTTATTTAATACTAACTACATGGAAAAAAAGTAATATAATTCTCTTGATTTGCTAAAATGGATAAGTAAAATGAAACATCTATTTTTGTTATAGGGGTCAAATAAAATGGAACAGAGGGAGTATGTCTTTTCTTTAATTTTATAATCAAGTAGAATTGTAAAAATGAGGCAGAACCCTCAACACAGTGTCCTTCCACCCCCTACCCCACCCCACAAAAAGGGGAGGGAAATTCCACTGGGTAAAAAAAGGATTACTCTGTTACCTTACTCAAAAATAGGGATGTTATTGCAGATGTCTTTTCTTTAGTATATCAGTGAAAATTGTCGACCTTGTTCTTAATAAATTTTATTTTATTTTTTGTAATTTTACTGGTCAAGTAGAATTTTATATTATTCTCCATTTCCAATAGGAAATATTTGTTTCTGGAAGCCTCTTATTTAGTTTATGTCTCAGGTGATGGGTGCGTATGGATATAATATTGAGCACATACTGATGGTTGACATCATTCCTGATGCTTCTGTGAGAAGAGCAATGAATGAGATAAATGCAGGTAAAGAAACTGCTGTAGTTTTTCATATGAATAAAATTTCTTGTTTAAAAAATGCATGGTTCTTGATTTGAAGGGGAATCAGTTTCTCCTTTCTGTATTAGTGTACAAATAGAGTGTCGATAGTATTTATGTTTCTAGGTTTCCTAATTCTGAATTAGTGTTACAAATATTGTGTTGATTATACTTGGTTTCTACTTCTGAATTAGCATAGTTAAAAAATGCATGGTTTAAATTTTGAAGGGGAATTAGTATGCAAATAGCGTGGATTGTACTTTAAATTTCTGTATTTTTTTTACCTCTGAATTAGTGTACAAAATAGAGTGTTGATAATTCTTAGTTTCTACTTCTGAGTTAGTGTACAAATAGAGCATTGATGGTACTGATCTGTTGTATTCCTTGGTAAGTTGTAATGCACATGTTGGAACTTGGAATATTTTATCTTTGAGCAAGGTGCCGATTGAGGATGCATCTGGTGTGTGGAGAGACACCCTTTTGTTTCCGGAAGTAGTATATGATTAAAACAAATGGTATAAGAAGATTCAAATGCTTATCATTGCCGTAAGAGATGATGTTCTCTGATACATGAATTAATAATTTACTGAACTATATACTGTTTTATCTTATTCTGTATTATATATAGCTCAAAGGATGCAGCTTGCTAGTGTATACAAAGGAGAAGCAGATAAGATTCTCCAAGTTAAGAAAGCAGAAGCTGAGGCTGAAGCCAAGTATTTAGGTGGGGTTGGGGTTGCCAGGCAGAGACAAGCAATTACGGATGGTTTGAGAGAGAACATCTTGAACTTCTCACATAAAGTAGAAGGGACCTCCGCCAAAGAAGTGATGGATCTTATAATGATCACCCAATATTTTGACACCATCAAAGACCTTGGAAACTCTTCAAAGAACACTACCGTTTTCATACCACATGGTCCTGGCCATGTTCGTGACATTGGTGATCAGATACGTAACGGCCTGATGGAAGCAGCTAGTGCAAAGGTCACTGAATAGGTCTGCGCATTTGGAAAATATACGATGAGAAGCATCTCCCTGTGTCTGTACAAGAAGGTTACACAATAAGAACAATTGGAGTTTGATAGTTTTGGTTTGGATTGTTTTTGTTTTCTCTTTAGCCATGACCATTGACATTGGCAACATTGTTTTGATGTTGTATAGCAAAAATAAAAAAACTTTTAAATAGAAAAGAAAGGAATACCAGAAAATGTTTGTAACCCGCTCAACAGGTTGTTGACCCGTTCATTCATTAACTCAACCCATTAAAAATTGGGTTGATATATAACCCGAATTGACTCATTGGGAAGTCTTATCAAAAGCTTTTGTTTTTAATTTGATATGTTGTACTTATGTAGTCATAATAAAGAAATAAATTATTTTATTAGCTACTAAAATAGTTTAAAGAAAAAAATAAAATAATTAAGTTTAGTTTGGCTGGGTCAAGCAAATTTGGGTTGGGTTGGATCTTGACCCAATTGTTATCTTAACCCATTATGATCCGTCCAAATTTGATTCTACCAGCCCAACCGCCACACTCATTGACTATACATCTTTCACCATATTTGTTTCTGCAAAAAGCTCGCAGTATTCAATCTTGTTTTGTAACATGAAACAGGTTGGTCAAACAAGTTATAAGTTTAGTTTGATTTGTTTAATATTTGAAATTTCAAACAAATTAAAACTAAAATTAGGTGGATGAAAAAAAGTAGGTAACAACCAGTGCTGTTAAATTTGACTGGATCAGTTTTAATATTCTTTTGACATAACTACGTCAATGCTCATTAATGTTGCTGATTTTGATCTTAGTACCTTCACCATGATCTGTCAGCTATTACATCGAGACATTATTACCTATATTTGAAAACGAAAATTCGTTCACAATTTTACACCAATTAATATGAATATTATGGTAAAATATATATTTTGAGGGATTAGTTTTGAAAAAGAATTGAAAATACAGCCATACCCCTATTTTGGCCTATCAATTTTTTCTTTTAAAAAAGGGATGGAAGCGCGGTGATAAGCTAATGCATGGTAATATTCATGAACAATAATAATATACTTATTGTAATTACATATATAAGGATCGAAAAAGATAGAATTTATATTGATTTTACCCCTTCTCGTTGAGATCAAAAAGTTATTTTCAAAAAATTCTCAACCATAATCATGATAATATTGAGTCTAAATAAATCATGAAGTTCCTTTCGCCTCCAACTTGGATATGTCTGACAAGGAACTAGTAGTATTTCTAGTCCACATAATCTTTTTTAAGGGTTTTACACCCTAATTAATAAATATTTTTAATAACCTCGAGCATAAAAGTATATTTTTGAAATTGTCGTTTAGATTCAAGAATAAAATGCGGGATTATTTTATTTTGTATTTGGTTAGAGGTGTTATTTATCCCACCATTCATATCGTAGTGATAGAATAAGTTATCTCATATACATAATGGAATAACTTATTCTCAATCAAACAACCCGTAATATAGTGCTAAGTTAACACCATTGGAATACTAAGGGGTATTTATGCTTGAAAGAATAAACAAATTGCTACTCCCTTTGTCCCTAATTACTTGTCCACTTTTGAATTGACACACCTATTAAGAAAACAATTATTAATATAGTGAGTTTACCATTTTACCCTTATTAATTATGAAGTGGATGAATTGTAGGTAAATTTTTTTTATCCTTTCTTGATTTATCAAAATAGACAAATAATTAGGGACAACTATAAAAGGAAAAGTGAATAAATAATTAGGGACAGACGGAGTATTGAGGAAGAAACTGATTATTTCCATATGTAGACAGTAGACTAGATACAACTAAATGGAGAAAAAAAGGGAGAATTTTTTCTTTACTTTTTTTAAAAAAAAAGTGTAAATCATTTTACAAATTGCAAAAATGGTGGATCAGTTGCAAACAAAAGGTACATGTAGAAAAGTATGTTAATAATAATAATAAATAATTGTGGACCCAAAAGTGATGGTAGATAATGCGTTACTTTTTAGACTGTAATAATAGAAAATAATAATATGTTTTAGGTATGTGGTCACTTTATTCACCGTACAACATATGTAATGTAATAATAGAACCACAAGAATATAAACCAAATTATAATAATTACATTAGGGTTTTGTTATAATTACAGTGCACTGTAATAATAATAATAATAATAATAATAACCAAAGTAGAGATTTGATGGCACTAATCATTTATTCCTCTATTGGCAGACAATGGTTAAACTGTACTGAATTACAACAAAACTGCTTCCGATCCAAATTTGAATTTTAGTCTTGGACATTTAGACATGACATAGCACCGTTGTGATTTATCGAGGCCATAATCTTAAATAGAAAAGTCTAGAAGACGCAAATTATGGTAAAAGGTTAATAGGTCGAAAAGTGTCTATGCTAATAGGTAAGTAATACATTATTTTGATGTCCTTATAAGTAGTAGTCATAGTGCTATCCTTGTAATTTCTTATTTTATGATTTTGTTGATATATATTGTTTCTTGTAGATTATTATTTGGTTGTAAAATTGTTTTACTATTATTTGTTGTTTTGTTACTATCGATTATCTCTTGTACTTTCATACGTCTTTTTTTTTTATCCGAGGATCTATTGAAAACAACCTTTTTACCTCACGTCTGAGGTAGAGGTAAGATTTATATTGCATTCTAGTCTCCTCAGATCTCGTAAGAATACACGGAGTATATTTTTATTGTATTTGTCGTTCTGTTTTCTCCTCCTTTTGTGTAAAATTATTAGCATACTATTTATGTTAAGATTTGGGGGGGGGGGGTAAGGGGGGTATAAAAAATAAATTAACAAAATTAGAAGTGTGAGTGGCAGAAGCAACCTACCAATTTATGTCTAATCAGATGTATTAGTAGTTGGCTGCTTGTGTTCAACTCAAGTAGGTATCATTAATGCTTAAAAAGTCTACTCATAATAATGTGTATTTTTCACTGTTGTAGATTAAGACGACCAAACCATAATCTTGAAATAACACCATTAACTTTAACTATGTCCTGTATGTAACAAGTTAATGAGTTTGGACCACACAAATAACAACGATAAGATGCTCCCTAGGACCACATTTATTGTTCATATAATATAATATAATACAATGAGAATAAGTGATTGACAGATATTTATCTACAGTTGCAACACATGTTTTCTTCTAGTATCATTAATTATATATGTGAAATGATTAGATATGAAGAACAAAGCCATTTATGTATATCTCTTCTCTACGTATTCATTTTTTGATTGTCTCAACGTGATTTATAGGTCACGGAGTTTGAGCCATGAAATCAGTCAATAATATTAGAGTAGGTTGTGTGTTGTTCTTCTCGAAATCCGTGTGAACGTATGATACATCGTGCATTTGGCATTATATAACTCTTCTCAAAGTAATCATTTTTTGGCATGTCGTACGAAGAGAAAGTTGAAGGTCGATCCACAGGTTGAAGTTTATCAGTTCCTACAACGATATCAAGTTAATATACAATAGTAACTAAGTTTGTCAAGTTGATACATACATAAAATTTTGTCAAAAGCTACTATAGGTTTGTATGAGCTTATACATGGCATTCTAGATCCGCCGCAGAGGGACAATCCGGTGGATTAATCAACAACAACATATCCAGTGTAATTCCACACAGTGGGTCTGGGGAGGGTAGTGTGTACACAAACCTTACTTTTACTTAGAGAGGTTGTTTCCGATAGACCTCCGGCTCAAAACAAAAACAGTCTAGGAAAAGACATAATGGAAGTGCTATAGACAATAAAAATCTGGCAGATTAATCGAAGTACATAAACCGATCTAAACACTATGGTTATAAATTTATAATCTATACTTTTGAAAGAAAAATACAGTGAGGGGCCAGAGGCAAAAGTCTTCACATTAGGTGCAAAAGGAGACTCCTTAACTATACAAAGAAAGAGGTTGTCCACCAATTAGAATGCAACAGGAGCAAAGCTCATTCCAAAATAAGAAAAACAAGATATCATTCTCATCTACAAACTCTCCATTTTTACTACTAACTTATATCCATTGTGGATGAATCACAAGGAAGATGGTAACATAACTATAGAGTAGACTCGACGGTATGCCACAAGGTTAAAAAAATACGTTGAGCTAATATTCGAGTCGAAAAAAAGAACTCATCATTCCCTAGCTAAGTAAAAGGAGGCAGAATAAGTAAGCAGTTCAAGTCAATGAAATAACAGCTAAAGAAGTATGTAATTGGAGCTTTTAATAATTTGATCGAGATTCGTATGAAGTGGGCAAGAATGAAAAGAGAGAGTGGCAATAATGAGGGAGATTTGAAAGTGTGTAGATTCTGGTAGAAAAAGACTGGTTTCCTGTTGATAATAATCATTCTGTTTCAATCTTTTTAAAAAACAGGAACATGACAACAATGAACTATGAAATCGGAAAACATACCATACGAGTGAAAAGGCCTTTTCAAATCCTCTAGTTGGTTGAGCAGTCTATTAGTAGTTAGCGTTATCAGCACATTCCTCGTGTCCCTCCATCAATTAATACCTATAGCAAATTCTATAGACAAGTGAACTAGCAGAAACAATATCATCCTCCAGAAAAATCGGCTTTTTAATTTCGTTTCCTCTTTTTGGCCCTTCCCGCCTCTCTTTTTCTTGTATACTATACAATTTTTTTGTCCTGAAAGATCAAGGAATTAATTTGTATTTGCAACAGAAGAATTTTTTGTATAGAATGTGTAAACAGGCTCACACTGTAGAAAAGGAATGATTGAAGATTCCGAAAATAAAAGCAGCAAAACTTTAACACAATAATGAGAATTGCATACCAAATAAATCATACAACCCATATGCAGCAGTGCCCTACCTTCTGTATGTTTCATCTCACCACTTTTTCACCATCTCCTGTACTATTGCACACTAAGATGTTAAAGAATAATCATAAACATGCCCCGTAGATTGGAAATTTTACCTGTAGGGTACTATGTCATGTTAAGATTGTCAAGAATTCAGCCACAAGAAAAGGAATCAAATGATGGTTAATGTATCCAATTTCAGCGTAATTATATATTAACAATCATTTCATAGAGGTTTCCAAGACCAGAATTCGTTAAGTCAGCTATGGAACAAGTACATCAGCATGCAAGTCATAAATTGTAGGTATTCCTTAGAAATCTATAAGCAACTAAGTTATAACAGTCCCAGTTTAAGACGAATACTTGAACCAAAACTTAGTGAAGTCCTATTATCTGCAGTGTATTTATGAACGGTGCACGTGAATGATAACATGAAAAAAAGAAAACACAGCATGCCTCCATACATACCAAATTATATTAGTAGTTAATGTTATAGGCAGCAAAGTAGAGCCAAAAGTCGGTTGAAATTCGTTGAAAAATCTTTTCAGCTATAATATGCAATCCATAGTGCCAACAGCCCCCTTGCTTACAGTTTGCTCAAAGTAGCTTTTCCCAATCAGGTGAAATAACCAAGCACTAAGAAAAAACTTTTAACTTTCAAATTCAGAATCTGGTGTGAAATTTTCAACAAAGTACCACCTTGTATGAGAGTAAGATAGATGGTCATGATGCTTAAAGAAATAGTTAAACTAAAGCTTTTTAAACAGTCTTGGCTGATAGGAATAAAATAAACAATTGAATACATAGAAAATAGAAAGAAACAGAGAACTTTCCCTCTAACCTTCCTCTTGATGCAATGTCTGTGGGGTTCTTAAAGCAGATGCTCTGGAGTCATTCTTCTGGCTACAAGGATCTGCTTCCGGACTGTTCTTAGGTTGACTGATCTCATAAAAGCTTATCTGATTTTTCATGCAACAATCAATGAAGAGAAACTTGACTAGAGAAAAGAAGCACGACAAATTCAGACAACTATTCTAGACATGTCTTCCAACATTTAAAAATAATTCTAATGGGAAATTATTACTTCATATCACTAACATCTTCAAGTAGCTTCCCCTTTCCACTTGGGCGAATTTTATATTTACAATAGCAAGTGTTAAAGCCACCCAATATAAGCATAAAAACTAGCACAAGTTGATGTATTGATAGCCATGAATAGCTCAAAACACAACGAATGTTCTTTGTTCTTGCCCCCTATTTCCCAAGTGACATATCGAAGTTTTGATAATTCGCATCGCTGACTTAATGAGATATCAACTTCATGTTGCATTTGATCAAATGATAAGATCACTATCAGCATGAATATCAACTTCTTTTGGATAACAGATGAAGATTCGAAAGCAAAGTTGAAATTAAGAAAGTACGTGGCAAGAGCAAGGAGTTTAACAGCTGAATCCACAAGTTCTTGTATAGATTAATCAAAACACACAGTTCGGGATAAGCTTTAGCATTTTGGGCAACTAAAACTGAGAAAGCATTGCATGGCTATAAGTTCTATCGACTATATGAATGAACCTGGTTCAATATGAGAAATATTGACATGTCGTGGGCTAAGGTCAATAAATAAACTGACAGCCGACAAAAATGACAATATTAGTTAGTCTCTGCCTTTGTTTTTTCCTGTAACATTTTTATTGACTAAAAGGAGGCAAGGTAAGTCAATTCACAGATAAGAGTTGGAAAGTAAAGTGGAACATAAATATGGTGAAATTTTGGTCTAGTTATAAATAAAGTACAAGCCTTTTTGTCACTTTTTTGTTAGCCTCCTAAATCTTTTTGCTGACACTGCCGTTCAAACAAGTTAGGCACTTAAAACTCCCCTCATTATCTGCAAATGGAATGAGCATCAAGATGCAGCTTTAGAACATAAATTAGGACACCCTTGATTCAACTCATTGCCAAAGTACTTGATATTAGCCAAAAACTATGCAAGATATTACAAAAAGTCCCATTCTATCCCAGTAAGATATTGTGATTACGAACAAGCATGAGCATATTTCTTCAGAACCAAGTACCTCTAGCTTCACATATAACAGGTCATTATATCATCAATAGGCAATTGATAAAATAACAATGCTCAATTTCCTCATATTGTCTACAAACAATATCTCCAAAGCCGTCTATTAGAAGTAACAAATCAAGGAAAGTGAAATTAAAAGAATTTATACACCCTAAATATCAATATTCTACAAGAGTTAAGAGATATGAAGAAAATAAATTAAACTGAGGGTGCATCTACAAAGACTTCATTGAACATGTCATCCTCACCATTTGCTGTAGTAAGCATCTCAGCATCCTTCTCCTCATCACTGGAAAAATCCCGTTTCTCAAGTTTTGCGTGAGCTGCAATGAAGATCATCCTTTGAGCTCTATCCATGCCAACCCTCGATTGCCCTTGCAGCGAAACCCATCTCATAAAGGACCAATTACATTTGAATCCACATGAGGTTGCCTGAAGGAAGAGAAGCCTAACAGCAACCTTCCCCAGCGACTTGAACTCTTTCAGGCAAGTTTCCCATACAAGCCTGCTACTCTGAGGATTTGCAATTTTCATTCTTCCTGTTACAGGATCTCGCTGCTTTACTTGAACAGCCTGAGCGTACAGTGGGTCGAGCCCTTCTGATCTCCATTTCATAAGCTCCATTAGTGCAGTGGGAGCTTCCTCCCGTGGTACGAGCCGTGTTATTAGCTTGTCTATGTCCTTCTCTTGATCATGTGTCAGACGTTTAAATGGTGGAAGATACTTCCCACTTGCATCCCTCACTAAGTATAATGGATCAAGTACAAATGCAGCTGACCATGCAGGGTGATAGTTTTTCTTGAACCGTGTATCGATTATCTTCTCAATAGGTCCCTCAGCAATGCTAAATTTGGCACACCAGTCCTTTACTTTAGCTCTCAACTCCTCCCAAAGAAGAAGACACTGACCAACTAAGGGTCTCTCGACCTCAATATCATCAGTCATCTCCTTGATCAGCTTCACTAGTGAATGAACAGCCTCCACGTCGTTCCAAAACCCAACATCCTGTATCATTTCAGCAACTTCTTTAGCAACAGGATCCTCTATGCATGAGACCTTATAGGAATCATCCAGCACTATTAACTGCAGTATTCGAGCATAACTTAGTATATCCTCCAACATTGCAATAACAGGACCATAGTTCTTAGAGAGATTGCAGTCAGCTGAAGGAACTCTAATCAACCCTGCAAGCTCAACACCGTGCGACCTGAATTTCCTAAAATGATTTCTGATTTGGGACTTGCTATTGAAAAGATTTGCAATTTTTAAGCAATTATCAGTGACAATTTTAAAAAGTGGAAGCTCTCTACCAAAGTCCTTCAACAAACTAATAAATCCATGAAGTTGGCATGAAAGATTAACCATCCAATGATTTTGTAACTCCAAATTCCTCAATGCCTTACCTTTATACTTGTCTCCAACTATTCCTACACATCTTTGAACAACATTACCACACAACCCTTTAATAGTTTCACGTAAAACTTCCTCTGCATACTCCGATGGCACCAAACCTCCCTTATACACTGCCTTATGAAATACATTAGTACCATTAGGAAGATTTATGATAAATTTAATCACAGTATCTTCCCCATACTTACAAATATCCCTCCCCCATCCATCTGAAGAAACTTGAAAAAATGCTGCATCGCGAATCCTGGCTTCGGACTCCACTCTTGCTTCTTCAAACTTAGAATCAAGTTTTTCTCCTACAAAATCCTTTCTTGACACCTCAGGCAAGCCTACTTGGTTAAGGAAAGCCTTGAATTTGGGATGCTCGAGACTCGAAAGTGTCACAGTCCCACAAGACTCATAAAACCAATCAGCCAACAAATTGAAAGCTGAATCAACCTGGTCCTTACACAAAGCTGGACCAGGTGAATTTTTCAAACTTTTAAGCCTCTTTACACTATCTTCCAACATCGCTAAAGCATCCAAATCCTCTTTCCCACCCGACAACATCAAATGTTGTTGATTAAGACCCGTATGGGTAACAATTGCTTGAGCTGTTTGGAGTGGTGAATAGCCCATTTCGCCGCAGAATCGCGGCGAAGTGTTCACCACTCCAAATTGTTGCGAATTTGAAGAAGTACCAGTAAGTGGTGAACTTCGCTTGCGATGATTATTCTGCGAAGTAGGTGAAGCTAAAGGGGGTAATTGTGAAATGGGCCTCAAAACTGAGCCAAAATTGGGACAAGTACCTCTTTTAAGATGCTCTGTAGCAGTCCGAGATGGATTTGAAGCCGAAAACGCAGCATCACACAAAGTGCACTTGAGTTTCACTGCTTTAGGGAGATTCGTTTCCGGGTTTTGAATCAAAATAGGCTCGAGATGAGCCCAGTACCAAGCTCCTTTCCCTTTGATAGCTTTTGTACGGACCGCAACTAACCCTTCATATCTCTTGCTCAATGCTTTCTCCGCCATATCTTCGCTCGAAGTCAACACTGAGTTAACATTGACGTCAGCCATTTCAACAGAAACAAAATAAATTAAAAAAGAGCTTTTTTTAGGATATTGAGTTTGTTTATCAATTCCCGACTATCATCATTATTGTGTGTGCAGAATTTCGATGAAAACAAAGTGGTGTTTCCATACCGGAAACCGGCGATCCAACCGGCGAATGAAGAAAAAAACTGAGAGATAAAACTGCAGACTCTGTGTTTGAGAAAATGCTTAACTGAATCTGCAGGAGAATTGGTGAAAGGAGCAAGAATGGTAGTATTGGTTAGGAAAAGAAAGTGACTTCATTGGAGTCTTATTATGCTACTTTTGTCGCTCACAACTGAGAAGACAACCTGCGCACAGAGGGGGGGTGGGGTGTGTGTGCGTGTTAAACCTGGTACCACGTGCTCTTAAAAGCGCGTGTCCAAAAATCTACCTAAATGCTCTTTTATAGATTTCATCGAGAGTGATAAGTATTTTTTCATTTTCAGCGATATATTTTGTATTTGAGTGCTGCTATTATCTATATTAGCTTTTATTAAGCATGAAATCATCTTTATTTTTGGTTTTAATCGATTTTCAATACGAATTTGGAGAGGAATTAAAATAAAAATTGTCAACATAGAGGAGTAGGGTGGGGTCGAGAAAATGTTTGAGCCAATGGAAATTGACTCCTCCACTTATGGTCAACACTGGAGACTGATACACACTGCTTAGGCTGACATCAAAGTAGACCAATTTTATATTTATGTAAAAAATGAAATTCACCAATGACAGCTTGGGTATTTACTGTATTTCTATTTTTATTTTTTTCACTCAATTATGATTAGGGTCAGAATAGTGTATAAAAGATTGTGTTTTGGGGGAAAATCTTGTAATTTGGACTTGGTGATGATATGGTTGATTTTGATTATGTAATACTAATTTGGTTTATACAACCAAATTTTCCTAATATTTTTGTACTTTTTTATGTGCAAAATGAACCTGTATTGTGGTATTCATCTCAAGTGAATAGGGTCTAGGTGTCTATTTCAAAGAGCAGATGCAGATGTATTTGTTGATGGTACGGATTTAGAAAATGTCAGTAAATTTTACTTCAAATTAGTACCTACTCCCTCCGTCCCTATTTACTTGTCCATATTTCCTTTTTTAGATGTCCCTATTTACTTGTCCATTTTGACAAATCAAGAAAAGACAAAAAAAATTTTCCTATTATACCCTCATTTAAACTTCTTGAAAATTTAAACTACCCCCAACATTGATTAGTTATCTTGAATAAATTTATTTTGGAATCATAATTAATAAGGACAAAATTGTAACTTCACTATGCTAATCATTATTGTCTTAATATGTGTGTCATTTCTAAAGTGGACAATTAAATAGGGATAGAGGGAGTATTAATATTTAGAAAATTATTTATTTAATATATATACAAATCATAAATATAGGACCTAATAGCTCTAAAGGAATAATATATAAGAGAAAAATTTACGTAAATTCAATTAGTTTAGAAGCTAATTACTTAGATACACTCCATTTATAATATTACGTATCTTTTCAGATTTTGGTGCATCCAAATACGTCTAGATATATGTATCTCGGGATACATGAAATCAAAATTGGGTGTAATTTCTTCTAGATACATTATATCTTTTATCTAAGTGAATTCGCGTCTCTCCCTATTTTAATAGCAAATATACATGTATATTAATGTATTTTTCTCAATATATGATAGGAAACTCTTAATTAATGGTAAAATCCGTATTATTTTAAATTTAATAATAATAATAATAATTGATAGCAAAGTATGCCTAATTACATAGTTTCAATTTAGAAAAAGAAATTCTGCAAATTTAAAATGTGATACATGGACAATTTGCTTTTGTTACCAAGTGAGTGGTGTGTTTGGTACAAAGGAAAATATTTTCCTAATTTGTTAATATTAATCAAATTTATTTTGAAAGATGCCTTTTTTAAGAAAATAAATTTTTTTAAAGATGAAAAATAATTTACCTAACGAAAGCAAAAAAAATAAGTTATTACTAGCTAGTGACATTCTATCTTGCTTGTGTCCTCTTTATCCTCCAACACACCTCATTGTTACCCATACCCCCAATAACCCTCTTCTCCACCATCCCACACCCTTAGCTACCCACCTCCACCTCTCGAAATATCTATCTAAATTATATACATATATTTTTAGAATAATATTATTTGTTTACAAGTCGAACACAAGAAAATAAATAAATTTCTAGAGTTTGCTGCTCTTTCAAGCAAGAGAATGATTTATACTGCTTACTCTTATTTGATGTGTGCTAGCGCAAATTAAAATTGTGTGTTTAGACGTGGAATTTATTTTTGAAAAAGTTAAAAAAAATTGGGTAAAAGTTACTATTATTTTACTTGAAATATTCCTAAAATCAATTTCAAAAACTTTGATTTCTTTATTTGACAACAATTACATTATTAGTACCATCACAAGATATTTTACGATTATGTAACCACCTTGTGGGCATTGCATCTTGACTTTTCCAATAATTAACAAAAGGATTAATTATGACTAAGCTAACGAAATCATAATTTAGGCTTAATTAGTGGGCAAATAAGTACTCATCCTATATAATAAACTACACGAGGACATGGCAATTTTATATATCATAATATAAATCATTATAATGGCACATAAACTTATTTTGTTTTGGAAAGAATGTACGTATTATGACCTATTAAACAAAATTAAGAAATGGATAGTTAAATCATAAATCTTTAGCATTTGGTGAAGTGCTTAATGATTATTAATATATCAAGCACGACTAATTGGCTATATCTTTGTTACCCCGTAATCAGTTCCATAAAAGGAGCAAAAAAGTGAGCATTTGTATGATTAATAGTCACTTGTAATATTATGGTGGTTATAAAACACTTGAATGGTTTAGTTGGATTAAACAAGAAGCAATGTATCATTTAAATACATGTGCAAATATACCATAAGTCATTAATCCTTCTTTTAAGTTTTATTTATTCAATTCTTTCTCCAACTAATGGCAAATTATTAAGGTTTTTGTAAGTGTTGAATTTATTGTAAATTTAAAATTATGAATTCAGACCTGGTACTATTTATTTTAATTTTAGTTATGTCCCACATAAAAAATGTTTGGGTTTAGATATATGAACTCTGTAGGCAACTCTACCCGAGAGAACATCAAACAAATGATGAAAGGAAACTTGCCTAAACTATAGATGATTCGACTAACTGACTCTAGTTAATCCGATTCAAACTAAAGACTTAGACAAACAAACGATCTAGATAGAGTAGATTTACAATATAAGAACACAAGACACAAAATTCAACATATAACTGAAAACATTGCAACACTCGATTAAGTCCCTTGTTGAGTATGAGCAATGCTTTTATTTTAAATGACTTTTGCCTTGTAGATAAACTTGTTTGCAAAAACTAGGTTTTGATCTTGCAGATGTTCCTTTTATAAGAGAGATCAAAACATAGGACGCATGTCATTGGCCGAGGTTGGTTTATCTCAGAAGTGCCCACCAACCACCGGAGAAAGTACAGTTCTACAGTAGTATGCAATTGACTATTTGTAGGTCAAAAACTTTGCAGACCAGATCCTTTCTACGATAGTTTAATTTGTTAAATCATCAAAATTAAAAAATACAACAAACTTAAACTTCTACAAAGGAAAAGTTGGTCCAGTGACGATACTTGGAGGGGTCGTATCCTTGTCTTCGACATTAGGTTTTGCATGTTACTCATGGGGAATGGCCACACGAACACCAACTAGCTACAAGGCATTGGTTGTTGGTGCTAATAATGGCATGAGCTGGGGAACGACCTAATAAGGGGTATTATTGGTGTCTGTTTGCGGCTGGGCGTTGACAAGGGTTATCAATGGGATAGCATAAGCATGGACGCATTTGTCACTTGGTTTGGCCAAGACCACGGGGTCGTTCATGGCGCTAGGCATTGTGAGGATTTACTAGACGCCATGGGGAACAACCAAGGGGTCACGGGGCATGGCTAGAAAGCCGCCCATGACAATATAGATTTGATCCATATACGATTTACTACATACAATTACAAATATGTTTTTACTTTGTGTGAAATTTTTGAAATTGAAGATGATGTTATGTTTGGTTATAATTTTCACAAATAATATTTGGTTGTTTGAACGTACTACTTTTCCTTTTGAAAAAAAACATGATATATAATTCAAATGAGATCATTGTTATTAAAAAAAAAATCTAGATTAAAATTTGAAGGATAAAAAAACATAGTATAAATGGAAAAAAAATCAAAAACAAGAATATTGATGTTTAATGTAACACCCCATATCCTAAACAGACCAAACCAGCAGAATTTCCAGAAGTTGCAGGTGCAACCCACAGTTACCACCCACGGACCGTAGGGTGACCTACGATTCGTCCTAGTGGTCCGTGGTTCACCACCTGCAACCCCCTCCCAGAAAAGGTCCAGAAATTATTCTAAGGCACGACCCACCATCGGACCCACGGACCGTAGGTCAGACCACGAATCGTGGTCCAGGTCCGTGGATCGAGGCCCCATAACTTAGTCCCAAAACCCCGTCAACGATTGACCAGCACGGACCGTTGGTCCATCCACAGTCCGTCGGTCAGTTCCATCGGTGTCCCTGACAGCAGGGGTCATTTGGTTTTTTCCCTATACGTTGGACCCTTAAACTACGTCGTTTTGGTCAGTTCTAGCCTGGTAAACTAATTAGAACTTACCCTAATCAATTATTCACCAAAATCAAGCGAAACTTAGAGCAAATTAAATGAGAAAGTCGAGTAGCCCTAGTTCAAGAACGCAGCGAGTTTTCATCAGTTCCAACCCCGAGATCGAATGATTTCTCCGTGAAATTCGTCACTATGTATGTGGGATTTCACTAGTGGGTTCCTTTCACCAATTAGGTCCTTAGATTTCAGTTAGAATCTTGATTCACTTAATATTATCTAGACCTAGGGTTTCTTGAATGTTAGAAATTGTTGGGTTTTAGTTGTTAGAATGATCCAAATCAGATTATCATATTGTTGCTTAGTTTCTTGTACAATATTTAGAACCCTAGCTATGTAGTTCTTTTAGTTCATGAATTACACATGCTAGGTAAGTTATTTTAGATATACATGCTTCAGTTTACGAATGTCATATAATCAGTTATAATTGTTGCATTCTCAGAGTTTGCATGTCAGTAATTGAGTTATCTTGCATTTCACATTTCAGTCATATTATTACTTATATACACTCTAATTTGAAGTAGCTTAATACCGATTGGACTAGGGTTCAGCGTACCCAAATAGTTTCAAAACTACGTGCCCCCGTT